CTCTTTCTCATTCCTTTAAATACTTCTTTTCTTCCCCTTACTTTTCCATTTCCCCTCTTTTTGTTTGCTTTTTATCGATTTTTCCTTTTTTTTTCCAGGACTAAGACCCCAACCTCCCTCTTTCTCCTAACATCTTTGACAGAGATTTTACTGGAATTTTGTTCTATTTATGTTTATTATTTCTGTTCAGGAGCTCTGCCTGACAAACCCGTTTGCTCCGCAGCCCTTGTGACCGAGCCCTGCTGTAAATCAGTAACCAGGGCTGTTACTGATTGCCCGGAAATAAAAGGCTTTTACCTCTCCTTTATTCCTCTTTCCTACCTCATTTAGGAGCCGACTTACCCGRGCATAGCTGGAAAATCGGAAAGAGGAACAGGGTAACCCGGCTGGGAATGGATCTGGGAGATCTGGGATGGCATCCAAGGGTGACAGCGACCTCGGGAGTGCAGCGTGTCCCAGCACAATGGGAACAGAGGGAAGAGCCTTGCAGAGCTGCTGCCCAGCTCRGTGGGGATGGGAAGGAGCAGAGTGTGCCACAGGAAGAGGGAGATGCTTGTAAAGAGAAGAGATTGTGCTGATAACTCTGAACGCAGCCACTGATCTGGAGCAGGGACAGGAGCTTCGTGCTTCGGCCTTTTCCAACACTCCTTAACTTCTTCAGCACTCCTCCAGCCTCCTGCCAACACCAAATGGGGAAAAACTGAACCATGTTGGTTTTGTTTAAGGGCAATTTATTTCCATGTTTCATGAAAAGGGGGCCCACATGACCTCATGGAGTGACTGCTCCTGGGTTGGGACAATCCCAGACACGAGCACGGGCTGGGAGCAGTCCTGCRGAGAAAGATTTGGGGGTTCTGATCTCAAATCATTTCCTGGGCTGCAGCACAAGAAATGTGGGCAGCAGGGAAGGGATTGGGATTGTGCCCCTGTRCCCCATTGCTCAGGTGAGACCCCACCTGCAGAGCTGCTCCAGCCCTGGGGCCCAGCACAGGAAGGACGGAGAGAGCCTGGAGAGAGCCCAGAGGAGGCAGCAGGATGGTCAGAGGGATGGAGCAGCTGTGCTGGGAGGAAAGGCTGGGAGAGCTGGGATTGTTCAGCCTGGASAGGAGAAGCTTTGGGCTGAGCTCAKKGTGGCCTTGCAGGGCCTGAAGGAGCCCACAGGAACCATGGAGAGAGACAATTTSCAAGGGCTGCAGGGACAGGACAAGGGGGATGAAACTGAAAAATTACAAGTTTAGATCAGATATTAGGAAAAAATTCCTCCCTGTGAGGGTGGGCAGGCCCTGGCACAGGGTGCCCAGAGAAGCTGTGGCTGCCCCTGGATCCCTTTGAGTGYCCAAGGCCAGGCTGGACATTGGGGCTGGGAGCAGCCTGGGACAGTGGGAGGTGCCCCTGACAAGGCAGGGGTGGCACTGGATGGGATTGAAGGTCCCTCCAACCCAAACCATTCCATGGATCTGGGATTCTTCCCTGCCCTGGGACAACTCCTWCTTTTCCCAAGTGCATTTTGACCTTTGCAGTCAGTCGCTCCTTCCCAGGCTGCCCAGAAGGCTTTGCCTTGTGCCTCCCACATCCCTCCTGAACATCTCATTTTTTGGGACATTTCACTGAGAATCCTGTTCAGTAAAGTCTCCCATTCACCTCTTTGAAGTGCTTTTCATTTGCTAAGCAGCCCCTTTGGGCTCATTTCTCTCAGATAGATTTGTTCCCTTTAAACCAGTCTCCCACAGACAGAGGTCTGAACCTCTCTATCACAAGCCAGACATTAAAAGGGAGTTTATAAAATACCAAAAATCTCACTTTTACTTTTATTTCAACTCCCTTTGAGCAGACCACATGCCCTCCGAAAGAACAGACATAAAGAAATTCCCCAACCTCCTTTAACAGTTTATTCTGGTGTTAAATGTTGTTAAAGTTATGTTGTATTTCTTGCTTCAGTCTGCCTGGGTCTCACTGGGGCCGTTTGTTCTTGTTCTGTAACAAAAAGTCTCCCCGTGTTCCATGTTTCATGCTGGAGTCTCTCCTCCCTATTCTTTTTGCTCAGCTAAGCACATCCAGCCCTGCAAATGTCTCAGGAGTGATTTTTTTTTCCTCTTAGAGCTGCTAAAAGTGGTTTCACACTCAGTCCAAACTTCCCCCCAAGGCAAATGTTTCTTATGAAAGAGGACAGGTTTGTTTTTTTTCTTGGCTTTTTTTTTTTTTAATAGATCACTTTTTAATATTTTTGGTGTTTTTACCAACACCAAGTATTCAAGGAATCCACCATTTACATTCTCTATTTCCAGCTGTATTAGCTGAAAATATCTCATGACTCTGGCTCTGAAAGCAAAATGTCTTTAGCAGCAAAACAGAAATTCAGATTGGATTTTAGAAAATGGGAAGAGTGATCAGGAATTGCAGTGAGCTGCCCAGGGAGGTGGTGGTGGAGTCCCTGTCTCTAGAAATGTCCCAGAGGAGTCTGGATTCGGCCCTTGGGGACAGAATTTGGGGTGATGCAGATGCTGTTGGGTGATCTTGAAAATCTATTTCCCATCTTGATAATTCTGGGATTCCATGATGTTTACTCTTTCTCCAAACATTTTCCATTTAGTTATAACCAGGATTTATTTTATTTTATTTTATTTTATTTTATTTTATTTTATTTTATTTTATTTTATTTTATTTTATTTTATTTTTATTTTGTATTTTATTTTTATATTTTATTTTAATTCTATTATTCTATTCTGTTCTATTCTATTCATTTAGTTAAAGTTTTTCTTCCTGGCCAGCTACTTTTCAGAGGAAAAATGTGGATTTAGGAGGCAGATCCCTGCCAATGAAAGCGCCCTCCGGGAATCCCTGGAAGTTTCGTTGTACCGCTAGATGGTGGTGTCCGTGTTGGGAACATTTCCCTGGCGCTGTTCCAAGGAGCACTTAGCGATTCGGCGCAGGCAGCTTTTTCCTGCGGGTAAATCATTAGCGTTAATCACTGTCACTTACATTGATCGATTGGCCCCAAACATTGCGGGGAAGATCCATTTTTTTTCCCCGTCTCGCCACCTCTTCCAGTCGAAAGCGTCTGTCGCGGTCTCTTCCTATGCAACAAGAAAGGGTGAGCCGTTAAATCCTAAGATTAGGGAGATTCAGGTTTATTTATTTATTTTTTTTTCTGACGTCTGTGACTGAATTAATGCTTAAAACTTTTAAGCTCTTAGGGCAGAGAGGTCCTTTGGCGGTGGAGTCCTGCAGGGCATAGCGAGCATGATCTCACTTGACCTTTAGCCTCAATTAATTATATAAAAATAAAATTCATAACGCATTTTCCCCTTCAAATCTGCCACCTGAATTGCAATAAGCAGCCTGTGCCATTAGAGCAGCAGTGGGTAATGAATATTTCACGGTGATTCTCCTGCCAGGGACATGCCAGGCTGCAGTGACAGGAATTTATGGCTGGCAGGTTTTGCTCCTTGATTTTTTTAATGATGTGTAACAGCAGATTTCCGTTTGGATTCTGGTGGAATTTCTACAGGGGGCAGAAAATCAAGTCTCTCCTGATGCAGAGAATCCAGGGAGATGCTCCTCAGAGAGGAAAGTGCCACCATTCCTGGCAGGAAGCAGCTCTGATATCGAAAGAATGTGGTTAAAAATRGCCCTAATTTGGTTGGATTGAGCACTGAACACTTTGGGCTCGCTCAGAAAAGCGACTTTTCCAACAACATTTGTCTGAATTGGAGAACATACAGATTGATGTCACTCAGCACAAGTGATCACAAAAACATCCTGTATTTAGCTTATTCCCCTGAAAAAAGACTTAAATGGTTCAAAACAGATTAAAGTCTGAAAAAAAAAATTAATGTAGAATGTTTGGAGATGTGTGCATGTCACAAAAACTTCATTAAAAACTCTGGGACCTTTGAAGTTCATTCTTGTGCCTGCCTCTGGAAAGTGGTGTTACATATATACAAAAATAAAARTAAAAATATACATACAGTATTAKATAAAGTTTTATCTATTTATCTAGATACATGTATGTATTTCTATATATAAAATATAGTTAATAAATAATAACAATATTCGTCTAGGTCACTTAGGTCAGACTAACCAGCCAAGCACATTTCCAGAACACCAAGGGTAGGTCAGTTTGTCCTTAAGACAAATAATAGAATTATGACACACACAGTGGCAACTTTCAGCTGATTTGTAAGTATTTGAGTAAGGTATTTTTATATAAATATTTGATATTTATATTAGGGACCAAATCACTCTGAGCTCCATCCAACCTGGCCTCAAACACTTTCTGGGCATGGAGTATGTGTCTTTCCATAYAGCAGTAATATAGCATTAAATATCCTGTATATTACATATATACAGAGAGCATATTATTATAGAGAGCATATTTTTCTATATACTCTATATTATATATATACACACATGTACTTACATTGTTACACAAAGCACTTTACGCAATAGATACCGTATATTAGATATATACCACATATAGATACTGTATATTATATGCACAATATTTTTAGTACATTATAGCATACACTATATTAACAATCTAATACATTACCAATCCTGTATAAATATACTACATAATACGCTACACACGCCGTAGAGTATAAATGTTATATACGGTAAACTTTCATATATAGTGTGTACGTATATTACATAATGTTCATAATAATATGTGAAATTTAAATTATAATTTAGATAATATATGCTACGCATACAGTCTAGATAATAAATATATAGGTGTAGTTTATCGTGTCTGTTGGATCGATGCCTCTCCCTCACGGCCCTGCCCTCACTCAAGATGGCGGCCGCGGCCTCGCTCGCCACCTGTTGCCGCGGCGACGGCGGCCTCTGATTGGCTCACACGGCCCGCGGAGGCGCGGCGGCGGCTTCCGATTGGCTGCTGCGGGGCGGGGGTTAAGGAAACAAGATGGCGGGAGGGGGGTGGGGGAAGCCACCTCAACGACGTCGCCGCGGCCGCCTCCGCTCGCCCCCGGCCATGGAGGAGCCGCCGCTCCAGCAGCCGCTGCCACCCGGGCAAGACGAGGAGGAAGGGGAGGAGGAGGAAGAGACGGACGCGGAGTGGAGCTTCGTTGACAGCGAGATGGAGGCGGTGGCGCTGCGGGACCTGCCCACCGCCACCATCGCCTGCAATCTGGACCCGCGCGTCTTCCAGGACGGCCCGTACCGGGTGAGCCGGGCCGGGAGCCGTAACCCATAACGGGGGCGCGGCGTGCGGGACCGGGGCTGTCGCGCTCTTCCGCCGCCGCCTCCGCCCTCGGGAGGTGTCGCGGGGATGAGGGGGCGAGGCTGTGGCTGCGCGTCCCCGCCCGCCCCTCGGTCCTGCCGGGATCCAGTGCTGGGAGTCCCGTCCCGAGTGAGGGATGAGCCGAGCCCGCTCCGCAACTCCTGACAGGAGGGGGCAGCCGGGAGGGTCGGGCTCTGCTCCCAGGGAACAGGGACAGGAGGAGAGAGAACGGCCTCAGGCTGGGCCAGGGGACGCTCAGGGTGGACACCAGGAGGAATTTGCCCATGGAAAGGGTGCTCAGGCCTTGACAGGGACTGCCCAGGGAGCTTTGGAGTCCCCATCCCTGGAGGTGTCCCAGGAAGGGCTGGAGGTGGCACTGAGTGCTCTGGGCTGGGGACAAGGTGGGCATCGGGCACAGCTGGGCCTCGATGGATTTGGAGCTTTTTTCCAGCCTCTGCTTCCATGRTTCTGGGACTTTCAACACCAACAGCTTTTTTGCCTTGATGCCTTTAATTCCTGAACCGGTCACTCAGGGTGAATCTCTGCATGAGCCAGAAGTGGAATAAAATATCCYTGGACCACCCTACCTTGAGCTTTATGGTTAAGGTTTTATTCGATGCACCCGATGTTGTGGGTTTGGTTTTTTTTTTCTTGTTTTTAGAATTGGGTTTGCTATCAAACCCATTTATACTGAAGCAGACGTTTAGCTTTTTGAAGAGATTCGAATTAAATGGACTGGACTTGAAAAATCAGGCAATAACGGCACTGATTTCTAATCCTATTAAAACAAATTGGGTGTCTCTTTGTAAAAAACAACTTGGAATTGTTGCAGTCTCACAGTTCAACCCTCCTGACAGTCAGAATGCTCCTGGCAGGGACGTCTTCCACTATGCCAAGTTGCTCCAAGCCCCATCCAGTCTGGCCTGGGACACTTCCAGGGAAGGGTCTCCATTTTCAGTCTTTTCTGTCATTATTCCAATGAAATCTCTGTCTCCACTTACTTGAATCAGGACAAAGTGYAATGTTTCCTTAACACTACAATAAAATTTTGATTATCTACTCCTTTTGTATTCTTGCTGAGAGGTACAGCAGGAAAGATTTTGGGCTGATTGCTTAAAACAGTAACAMATTAATTTGAGTTTCACAGTCTCAGCATAAACTATGTTGTCTTCACCATGGCTGACAACGTGTACAGATACTGCATAAATTATATTTCTGAGGGAAAGAATGGGAGAATTGGCTTGAGCTTGAATAAATATCTGTCTCCAGGAGGAAAGAAAAGTTTTAAAGTTTTATAAAGAAAACAAAATTTTTWAAAAAGGACAGGTGGAGGTGCTTGGAACCTGGTGATTTATAAACGTGGTAGGTGCACACAGGCTTCTAATTGATGAAAAATCAGTTTAAATGTCTGATCACTGCCTTTCAACCWTTGAAATAAATAATTTAGGTTCAGTTAGTAAAGTTACAGGGCTGGCAAAAGCTAATAATTCTGTGAAGCTGGAAGTACTTGACTGTTTTATAGGAACACACATGGACTGGCTACGTTTTTAATTTGTTCTGTTGGCCAAATGTCAGGAAGTTGCAGAGAGACAAAGTRGAACAAGGCCCTAAGGCTGTATCCCAGATTTTGGAGGTGTGAAAGGTGCCCTCAGTATCTGGATAGTGTAAGGAAGACATGGTTGTATTAAAAATGAGGAAAGTACTGTGTTCTCCCATGGTGTATCCAGTTTTCTCAGCATTTYGTGGGTCTGGGGTCCAGGGAAATGCAGTTTTGTCATGTCATTCAAATGTGTGAAGTGATGGTGGTCACACTAAAATGTCACTGTCTGGACCACCTGAGAAAGATTCCAATATAATTTTAAAAGGCTGCTCTTGGTTAGGAGGTGAATTTTAATGAAATTCACGTGGTTTGGTGTAGAATGTGCCCAGAAAATTCAAACCTGTGCAGCAAACACTTGTGTGGAACGTGGTGATGCAGAAGGGATGAGTAAAGGGGTTGTAAAACAACTTTAACACGTAGTGTTTATAAATACTTCGTGAATTTTGGTGTGAACAGTGGGTTTGTTCTGTTCTGTGAACTTTCTGCTTTTGCCAACATATTTAACACTCCTAAAATACCTTTTTCTGTAGTTAAATGTTGGGTTTTTTCCTCCTTCAGTGGGCCCCTTAATAATCCTGGATTGCCCTATTTGAGGAGGGCTGATCCAATCAAAGGTGAGACAGGACAGCTACTGACAACTATTTCTATTTTGCCCTTCCTAAATAATGATTTATGCTGGAAGTAGTGGTTGAATATTCCTGTTTTTCCTCTTTTTAATTTTTTAGTATTTTTTAAAATTGAGTTGTTGATATCCCAGTTGAGAAATCTGAAGTTTTAAATGGTTTGTGATCAATCTCTTAAAAACAGGCCCTCCTGTCAAGGCAATAATTTTGGTAAATTATGGTCTGTTTTCTGCTTTATGCTCATGAGAAATAAAAAGATCTCATGACAGGTCTTTTAATATCAGTCTCAAAATCTTCCAGAGAACTTAATACTTAATACTTAATACTTAATACTTAATCCCTAGGTTTTCTAAAGCACAGCTCAGGAATACCTTTAAATTCTGTGGATTTTTTTCACTGAAGTACAAGAAGTTATTTCAAATGAAAAAACCCTTTTTCTGATTTTCAAGTTGTCAAATTACCTTGGAAAAATTCWGATTTTCTGACCTGTCTTTCACTTCGGACCTGCAGCTTTTTTGGTAGTTTTAATGTTGATTYTGTGCTTGAGGAATTGTAATTCTTTCTTCATCCAACTAACAGATGAGTTTTGTTTTTAAAACTGCATTCCTGTGTACTCATTTATTTTTAAAAAGTTTACAGAAAAGGTGTCAGCAGCTAATTTCCAGAACCAGCAATTAGGTTTTTGTATCTTTCCATCCTCCTCATGTGATGCTCAATTTTTAAGAGCCTTTTTATGTCAGGAAAGGACACTCAGGGTTTTTTATAGCATTTGTGCTGTCAAATGCCAAGTGCAGCAGGTAAAACACTTCCCTGGCTCCTGTTATCCCRAAGGGATGTGGCACACTTCCCTGCTGACTTCCAGAGTTCTGGGCACAGCCACGGGAGGGCTAAATAACTTCATGAAAAAACTTCATTTGTGCCACTCTCTAAGTAGGKTACCCAGGTGTGCTTTGCCAGGTTCCATTTTCCCTTCGTTGTGGGCACCTTTCATTTGGGAAGTGGCAAAGGKGAGCACAGAGTTTCCACAAAGAATTTCATTTCAGGCTGCTGAGGAAATAATTGGGTTTTAGGGCTGGGAGACATTTTTGGTGGAGATCATTTTCCTTAGAATGGGTCGAGTTCCTGGAATTCCTTTAAGAGATTYCTGAGATTTTTGGGGTGGTGCAGTCACCATCTCTSGAAGTGTTCCAGTMTGGATGTGGCCTTTGGGGACATTTTAGGGTGATGACAGTGGTGCTGGCTGATGATCTTGAAGATCTCTTGCACCTTAATGATTCTGTGATAATTACCTTAATCTGCTAATTTTTACAAATT